CTAGACGTGTTCAGGGTCTCCTTGAAAGAACCCTGGTTTCTCTATAAATGCATTATCTCCCATTACCTTCCCAAAGCCCTCCTGTTCACATAGGGAACAATTAACACAGCCACTCCTAATGCTCATTTCATGTGCTGACCCCTCTGGAGATGGACACTCCAAGCTGCCCAGCGCATCCTCACCACGTCCCAGCATAGACAAGAGCTCTGACAGCTGCCATCCCAGACCACCATATAGGAAGGCACTAATTAGCTCTCTCATCACCACAGGATTATTTGAAGGCTTCCATCTCACTGCAAGCAGCACCACCTGGCTTTGCAGCACCAAGCTTCAGGCTGCACCCTATGGCCCCCCCATCACCATGGTGCTTTTCTCCATCACTCCACCCCCCCAAAAAAAAAAAAAAAACCACCAAACAGTTCCACTCTGAAACCTCCCAGACTGCTGGTCATGCCCTGGGACCTTGGCTTTCTTCACAACACCAGGACCTTGAGCCAATCTCAGCCCAGGCAAACACCCAGCAATGTCTCACCTGAGCAGCTCCATCCCCTGCATCCATGCGGGACCCTCGGCGCTGAACCTGCTGCAGCCGGCATGCAGAAGCCTTCTCCCCCAGCAGAGCTCCCAGCCAGCAGTTTGTGCAGCTGCCGCCTCACATCTGCCTCTTCTCTTGCCAATTGCCCAAGAGCCCTCAGCCTCTCATGCCCAACAGTTCAGCTGTCATGGGCTGTGGGAAACCTCAGCTTTGGAAACGCTGCGTTTACACTGATGCAACCTGGCAGACATTCGTTTTCCGGAGTTGCTGTTAAGGGGGAGAGGAGGAATATCCAGCCTGGGTTATGGGCTGACCCGTGTCAGGGCTGTGGCCAAGTGCAGCCTCCCTGGGCTGTAACTCTACCTCTTTCCTCTCCCCCCCCTTGGTCCCATCCCACTGCTCGCTCCTTGCGATTCCTCCACCGGTTCCACGCGCCATACGGCTTCCTCCACCATCTGGGCTCCATTTAGGGGAGCTGATGTTTTTCACAGGGCTGTAATCTAAACTTTGGTATTGAGTTTACATCTCGCATACCAGCGTCTCACCACTGCGCCTGGCCACGTCGGGGGGGGTGTCTGGGCTGCCAGGCTCCATCCTGACACAGAGGGATGCAGCACTTCGGCAGCTCCACATACCTGCAAACCATCAGATAGCCCAAGAACTGCAGATGCTGATGCACAAATCCCACATGGATCTAGCCAGGCGCTGGGCACAAGGCTGGAAAGCAGAGCAGACCCTGGGAGGCTGCAGATGGGAGCTGGAGCTCCTAATCACTGTTATCCAGCCTCCATCACCAGCAGCAGGAAATTCTCTTAATTTTTTTGCCTTAAGCCCTACCCTTACCTCCATCCATACGCTGCAGTCAGACCCTGCAAGCAGCATTTCTCAGAGCAAGGACAAAGGTTGTCCCTTTGGGGAGCAGAGGATGGACACTGAGAGGCACCAGGCCCTGCAGCATCGCACTGCTTGCTGCTGCTCTGCTTGACCCAGACCAACCAGATGCAACCATCAAAGCCAAGTTCCACCAACAGCAAGCCCACACCATCAGGGAGCAGGAGATGAGAGGGCAGGAAGCAGCAGCAGGTCAGGGGCTTCCAGCAATGAAGAACTGCTGAGTTTGTAGGCACCTGCATTTGCAGCTGCCTGCGCTGCAGAGGTGGGACAGGAAGATCTGTGCTCCCAGGACACCTCGCTGGACCGGGCTGTGAGCAGATTGCTCTCCATCCCCTTTTCTGCTCCACTCAGCTTATGTTAAACGGATATTAAAAAGCACAAAGTCTTCGCCCTGAGCTGCTCAGAGCTCTCCCTTCCCAGAGCAGCGTGCCCTGAACACTTAGCATCGAGTCTTCCATCTTACAGCCATACAAACACAAGCAGAATCAGGCAGCCAGGCTGTGACGAGGACAGCACCACCACCACCACCCAAACTAACAAGCAAATTCAGGCACCGTGCAAGCAGCAAGGAGGAGCTTCACCGCCCAAACACAGTTAAGGTGCTGCATTTGCAAAGAGGCTGGCACGACAGCTCCTCTACCAGACACTGGCCCAGCTCTCCAGCCCCCACAGTTATTTATGAACTGCGAGGGCTTGCAGGCTGCCAGCACACTCTGCCAGCGGGCACAGCAGCATCAGAGAGCACCGTGAGCTGGTTGCATGCTGCAAACTCTGCTCCAAGCCCTGCAGCAGCTCCCACCCCCATCTCCTCGTCCCCCAACCCGAGGGTCTGCTCCGCTCTTTGGCCAAGCAACCAGGCTGGCTCCATCCCAGCAATCCACATGGCCAAGCCAAAAAATGAGAAGTAATGTTTTTATACTTGGACTTTTCAGGCAGGATTTAGTCATTTGTGGACACGAAGGCTTGGCAGGACGCTCTGCCTCCACTCACCTACTGCAGTGAGCAGCTGTTTGTGACGGCAGAGCCCTGGAGATGGAAGAAGAGAGACTGCTTGTGATTTATTCCAGGTGAACCCTGATTTAATCCAGAAGCATCCAGCTGACGAGGAAGGAGTCACATCCAGCATGCAGTTGGGCACAGACTCGCACAACACAAACATCCAACAGCTTCACAACAACAAATCCAGCGGGGACTTCTACCCCAATCTACCTAATGGCTAAAAAATTAGTTATAGGCAGAAAAGCCAAACCCTCTCTGAGTGCACACTTGCTTTAAGAAGACAGAACAACTGAGACCTGGTCTGTCATACTAGAAAAGCAGGTTCCAGCCCCAACTCTGTAAGGATTGTACAAACCCTGTTTGCTTTCCCTGCGCCACGGAGAAAAGCTTCCTCCCGTGAGCCCAGCCATCACTGCCCAGCTCTGGGAGGCCCAAGGAATCACCAGCACTGCAGGAGAAGCCCACAGCCCTGAACACGCTCTGCTGGGGCTCCAAGCAAAGCTCTGTGCAGCCTACAGTCTTCCTATGGGGAGTCAGTGTGCTAGCAGGCCTTTTTGCACTTGTGCCCTGATTGCAATTCCTTAATTCTTCCTGCCACGTCGACAGCAAGGTTTGCCACTGCTGCCACAAAGCAGAGGGCAGCTCACATTCCCAGCACTGCAGAAGGGAAACGTTTTGTCCCATTGCAGAGCAAAACCCTGCAGCATCTGTGGGGAGGCTGCAGGCTCTGCAGTGTGTGTTCAGTGAAGATTTGCTCAGGGGAGTTTGCACCATGCGGTCACATATCTGAGCCTGCTGGCTCATCCCACCCTCTCCTCAACAGCTCTGGTGCTGTAAGCAAGCCCTGTGTGACTGTTAAGGCAGGGCAGAAGGTGAACTGAGCCTAATCTGGGCTGCCAGAAGAGAGAGACAGCAGCAGGAGGGGAAGGGGAGAGGGCACCGTCCCCTCCATCTCAGCAAAACACCAACTCCACTGTAAGCCCCCACCTTAGGGCCAGAGCAAAACTTCTCAGGCACGAGCCCAAGGCTTATCTGCTGCTCCCTCCCTACTCCCACATTTCTGTTATCGAACCAACGCTACTTGATCTACAAATCCTGCCTCTTAAACCAGCAAAGTCACGCCGGTTCCTGCAGTGCCGATGCTTGGCTGCGTCCCTCAGCTTCAGCAGAGAACCCCAGGATCACCAGCAGTCCCCACAGCACCCTGTGACTGATGCCACATCTGTCTGTCCAACTGCATCCCCTACGTGGGTCCCACCACCGTGCTCTGCAGCCACTGACCCTTTTCCCACAGGTTAAACCACTTCAAGCATCCTACAAGCCGAGTTTATTTAGGAACCCACAACAAAACCTTGAAGGAAAGGGAGTCAATGCGGAGCTGTGCTTCATAACCAAGCGTGGGACAAAAGCTCAAAAAGGAACACAGCAGAATTCACCATGGCACAGATCAGCAGCACAACCCCATTAAGCATTGACCACTGGAGGAGAGGCGCCTCAACCAGGAGCCTCTGTGCCCCGCAGGCAGGCTCCTGCAGCAGTCACACAGCTGTCCCAGCTTTGAGACAGATAAGGCTCAAATGATTCATTCACTCTAAACCTTTATTTGTTCTTGCTTACCCAGAAAGAGCCAGCAGCTGCTAATGCTAAACTGGGACAGCTCCCAAGCGCAGACAAAGGCCTGCAAAAACAGGTTTAAGGAGGAACTGATTGCTCAAAAAGCAATCCTAGAAGAGGGAGTTAGAAAGGAGCTCAGCGCCGTGCAGGAGGAAGAGGAAGCCAGAAAGCACCTAAAAATACATCTTTAAAGAAGCAGCCAAGCACAGGACCAAGGCCTCGCCTGCACGTGACCATCACCCACAGCACAGGCAGGATGTGAGCTTGGTACACAGCACTCACTCACCAGCAACCCCACATACAGAGTGCGTAGCAAAAGCCACGGCCAGCAGCTTTTGCCCCAAGAAAGCTCAGTTCTGCCATGCAACAAACATTCTGGGTGCGGAATGCTGCCCCATTTGTGCTCTGACCACCCCACACACTGTGCCAGATCCACCCCAGCTGGGAACCCACCTAAAAGCCAGCAGAAATGGCATCAGACAGCTTCAACAAGTTCAAAGGAAGTCTGGAAAACAAGACTGCTCCCAAGATGTACTCTAAAGAACAGCTGGGCCCTGCTGAAGGACTCAACACAGGGTCAGTCCTTTGGGCTGTGTACCCATCTGGGCAACACCTTCAGATGTGATAAGTGAGTTTCCTGTGAAACAGCCAGAAATGGCAGAGCAGGAGAGCTGAGACTGCCCTGCTGCTGCTACGGCTGGGGCTGCCGCTGCCTGCTCCTCTCTTGCAGCTGCAAGGCTGCAGAAAGCTCTCACATGGGCACAGGGCTGGGAATGGAGGATAAGTAAGCAAAGCAGCAAAGAACTTGACCTGCTCCTGCATGGACCCAGCGGGGTGAGAGCTTCAGCTCTGCTCCATGCAGGCACCACTCCAGAAGGATGCTCCCAAACACCTTCAGCCAGTCCACAGCACTGTGCAAGGAAGGAAACCCCCCCCCAGGGATGTGAGAGGCACTTACAGGACGGGCTGAACATCACCAGCGCCGCAGACAGAGTCAGAGCTGTGCCCTGAGGCTGAGAACATCCAGCTAGTTCCGCTCCCGGGAAGCCACCGCTCCGCATCCCACATTCACTTCTGCTTCGTTCCTGCTGTGCACGTATCTGGTCATCGAGGCAGCACCGAGACGCAGCAAGATAAGCCTGCTTGAAGATGGGCCAGATGCAAAAGGGCACTTAATGAACTCTCGTGCACTGAGTCATCCCATCTGCAGAGCCGTCTGCCTCCTCCGGAGCGCACACCAACGCCGGCAGCTCTTATTTCGTGCTCACGTCGGTGCAGAAGCCTTTGAGCACAGCAGGCTGAGGCTGCTGGGTAGGGCTGTGCCCGAGCTGTCCCTTCAAAGCTGCCATGAAACGCAAACACAACTTTTGCATGGCACAAGTTTGCTATTCTTCACCCTTCGGTCCTTGAACTCATGACTACTGAGCAAGGCGGCTTGCTCAGCTAACCAGCAGGCTAAGAATAGAGACCTTGAAGTGAAACCTACAGGGATTGGCAGCTATTTTGAGAGCGCTCAGCCGGCGGGGCGGCGTGACATAAGAGGATATAAAGAGGAAACTCTGCACAACAACTCTCACCTCACCGAGATTTGGTTAAGTGAAGGTAGAGCCTCCATGAGTGCTTTTGAGGCAAAACAAACACAGAAATGGGCTCCCGAGGCCACCTCCACATCAACATGGGATTCCAAACCAGGGCTTGCAGCTCCGTGATGCACCCCAGGAGCAGCTCAGCCCCTTCTCTGTGCTTCCAACCCCCCCTCAGAGCCTCACAGCTCTCCAGCAAAGCACACGCATAGAAGGGAGGGCTGCGATCTGCCCGGTCACCAGATGTGTTTGAGAAAGATCTGGTCTCGGTTAGCAGCCAGCATTAAGATTAATGTAAGGAAATTTAAATGGCAATACTCAGAGCGTATTTGATTTCAAGCCTTAGGTGCTTGGAAAACAAACATACAAGCTACGGTTTCTGGATATCAAGCCTGCCACCTGAAACCAGTCCCTGCAGCAGCACACTGCAGGGTGCTCCCTGCATCCACCTCTCAGCACGTGCAGAGCAGAGGCTCCGAGCATCAGAACGTCCTCCTCAGAGCTGAGAATGGTGATTTTCTCCTTGCTTTTGGACTGAAAGAAGCTGCAAGCAGGGACTCCCAATTCACCAGCTTCATCTTTTATAAAGACATCCCACCAAAACCTGCACAGGGCACTGGGAGTACAGCACACCTCCAGCAGCTGTTACTACCCTCCCAGCTTACCACCAGCCTCTCTGCAGCAGATATTCTCACCCTGTAGCCACCAACAGACAATACTGGAAAGCTTGTGGCCTCTTAAGTGTTGCTTAAGGCAGCTGGAGCTGGAAAATAGCAACAGGAAAGAGGAGACTCTTCTCAGTAGTCGTGCCCCCAGGCTATGCACAGAAACATCCTCTGAAGCCTCAGTGCATCAAACTGCGAGTGAACCTGCAGGATTTACATAAGCCTTGAAGTTTTGGATAAGCATCGAGGAAGAAATTCAGAAGGCAATCCTGTATCAAGCTCTCTGGGAAGTGACGTTCTCCACATTTTCTGTGCTGCCCAAGGCTTCATGCTTACGCAACAGCAGCTTTTGAAAAAGCAGCATCAGCATCAACACAGCCTTCCCCTCCCTTGTGTAAGAGATTCCCCTTCCGTGAAGGCTTGGTTTTGAGGCATTACTTTTGGATAGCAGTCAGTAGGGCTTTTTTGATCCTGAGCGATCCAGTAAATGCACTGAGCACCCGGGAGAGCCATCAGCAAGCAATGCCACAAGCTGGCAGCCCGAGCTGTGCACCACCCAGCAACACATCCCACTCCCAGGTTGGCACTGGAGGATGCTCCAGGCAGAGGCACACCCTGCACAGCCAAAGCATTTCTCCATCGTGATCAGAGTCCCTCCTGGAGGCCAGTCTGAGGTCCTCGCTGCTCTCAGCGCTATCCCAGCTCCCACCTCTCCCTCCTCTTGTACCCCACAGTGAGCACCCATAGTCCCAGCCCAGCACACACTGTCCCCCACTGCAGTGCAGACAGATTGCAGGGTGAGCATAACCACTTTGCTTCACACTGGTGGGAGCACTGGTTTAATCCAAGCATGCAGTGCAGCCCTGGGAAGAGCTAAGCCTCTCTGTTGTAAATAGCTCATGGGATGGAGCTGGATCTGTCCAAGTGATGGGGCTTGTGGTTGTGACAAGGTGCAAGAAGCCAGGTAAAGATGCACTGACCACAGCACCGTCCACTGCACACACAGCCTTAAGCATGGTGGACTGAGATTCTAAGAGGAGGGAGGGCAAGCAGGTATGTGTGATGGATGTGTTAATGCACCCAAGTGTCACACGGAGCTGCTGCCCCACTCCAGCCCATCCTTGGGACCAGGAGCACCACTGACACCCTTTGCTCTGAAGCTCCCTGCCCAGGAGCAATGTGGCTGGCAGCCTGGCACCAACTCATGGCTCTTTCCTCAACATCCTCCCATATTACCCAACAGGGACCACACTGACAGGGACATACGTACTGACTGCCACCTCATACACTGAAATACAGGTTCCTGTGCATCACCACCTCCAGCCCTGCTCTGCCCAGGGCTGCTGTGCCCCAGCACACATCCCTCCTTTAAGGTAAGCCCGGGGAACTTCCAAAGTCAGCCCAGCAAGCTGACTTGGGCTACATTTACTATTTATAGTTTGATGACTGGGATGAAGCCATCCAAGCATTCCAGCTTCACTTGCTCTGGCTAAACTCAAGCACCAGTGACTGAATCCTGCACAGCACACAAAGGCTCAGAGCTCATTCAGTGTTAGCAACAGCTGCTATATCTGGAAGACTGTTTCAAGGGAAGCTGGAGCTCTCCAAGGCAGAGAAAGAAAACAAATCCTTCACATACATTCTGCAGGACAGCGCTGCCCTCCTAAACATCCTTGGCTCAGTTTAACAAACCCACGTTGAAAAGTCCCTGCTAAAAGCAACAAACTGCAGCTCACCAGCTCTGCACCCCGAATGCTGTCCACCTGCTGGAAAACCTCACGTCACATCCCACCGCCAACACACAGCCTCAGATCTCTGAGAGCAAGAAAACTGCCTGTAAAGCACTGCACCCTGCTCAGCAGGGAAAGGCAGCTTTGGCAGCACGGGAGCGGAGTGGCCAGACCCAAACCACACTTGCTGCAGGCACCAACAAAGGAAGAAAAACATCACGGCAGCTCAGCACAGCCTTCTGCAGTGTTTTTAGTGCGAGCTGCAGGGCCTTCTGTAGTATTTTTAGGGCAGCTTGGCAGAGAGCAGGGCTCTCAGAGCCTTGCCCACAGAGGGCTGCTCAAGCCTGACACGAGCCCACCCAGCTGCAACCAGACTCAGCAGGGCCAGGACACGGTCCCATGGCCATCAGTCATCAGCCTCGTTTTACCAACGACACAAAGTCAGCAAAGAAGCTGCTAAGAGGAAGCCAGCAAAGCCTGAAATCGGGGAAGGATGCATTCTTGCCTTCAGGGAGCATAGCAAGATAATGAGACACAGACCTCGGGAAGGATTCGATGCAACAGCTCACAGCACTGACTCACCTCCCCGTCCTGCGCAGCCGTCCCTGTCCCCACGCTCTGGCTGGAGGGAACAAAGCAGGACACTGCTACAGCTGGAAGAAGACAAGAGGTAACCGATCACATCAGAAAAACTAAGGCCCTGGTGCTTGAACCTTCGACAAACATGGTTCCGTCCCCAGCCAAAGCAAAGGGATTCGCACACAACCCTGCTGGAGCTGGGTAATGATGCAGGAGCTGCCCTGGTTCAGAGCACTGCCAGCACTCTGGTTTGTTTTTTTTCCCCTCCTCAAGGTCCCAGCTGCTAAATACATGACTGCAGGATCTCTTGGTCTTTCTCAAAAAAGCACATCTACCATTTCATCCATCACTTGAACAGGAAAAAGCCCCAAAGCCTGCTCCACAAAGACTCCAGGCACACAAAGCCTCTCACTACTGACATTTTCAAGCCTTAATATATTGTCTTTGAACAGTTTCTAAATGGTTCGGATTTGGCAGAGCTGGCTTTCAGCCTCTCAAGAGTCATTTCTAAGTGCCCTGAAGTGAGAAAACTCTGCTTGGCCTCAGCCCAGCACCCCAAAGCCATTGGGGTTGCCACTCACATCCCTAGAGCCACCTGTCTCAAAACACACCAAGCCACCGTTCCCAACCAAAGCTGAGCTCCCAGCATCAGACAGAGCCTGGGTTTTCATTCTAACTTACAGCCCAATGAAGTGTGAACACAGAAACAAGGGCCAGAGCCGTGACACTCGTGCTTCAGCCACTGCAGACCTGAGTTCCTCAACTTCGCCAGAGAAACACCACAAATCCACACCCGCAGCCTCCAGGATGCTGGACTTCATTGCTCTGAACATCTAGAAACAATGCTGCAGAGCTCCAAAATGCTTCTGTCAAGTCAGAGCAGCCCCAGACAGAACAGAGCACCACGCACAGACCCAAAACTGGGCACCATCCCCATCCCAGAGAGCTTCTTCTCAATGCAAGACACAGCCAAACAGTGTCATGAACTGCTGGAAAAGGCACCTCATGTGCACTTGCACTCCACCTCCTCCCTCCTGCCATGATGCCCAGGACAAGATTACACACCTGCACGGATTGGCCCTAACATTTCCACATGTCCTTACACAAATTACACATCAGAAAGGCTTAGGACCTGCTCTTGCCAGCTCTAACCTTCCCACATGCCCACGTCTTCAATGCTTTCAGCCTTGCTGCAAAAACTTTTGCTGCCATTTTCGCTCTCCCACTTCCTGCTCACATCAGGCAGCCAAGCAGGAAGGACTGAAATCCTCAGAGCACACCAGGAAGCACCAGAAATCTGCTGTGATGTGCTGGGCGAAATGCTCTGCAGACACCTGGGCAGAGGCTTCCCAAAGCAAACAGCTTTGTAAGGAGCTGAGACCATTCTCCAGGCTAAAAACAAGGCGAAAATCACAGCACAGCCCAAGTCCTCAGGGAGTTTGCTCCCAGAAGTGACAGCTCTCCCCTCCCTCATGCAGCCAAGCATCCCCCTACTACCTCTGCAGAAGCATCCGAACACGGATAATGCTTTTATCATGGAAAAAAGGTGTGGGAAGCTCTGCTTTTTTGGAGCATGGGAACCGCCAGCAAAGACCAAGCACAGGATAACCTGCAGGTCTGCAGGCTGCAGCAGGCACAGACTGCACAGCTGGGATACTCCATGCATCAACACCGCTTTTCTAGAGCAGCTGTTCCCATCCTTTCTGAGCAACTCCGAGAGAAAACAAGGACGCAACTTCATTAAACGTGTCACAAACCGACGGAGCCGCCGCTCCCACCCCTTACGGCCCAACCAGCAGCAGGGAAAAGGACCGGGACCGAACGAACCCCTCCAGCAGAACCCAAACCCCGCACTAAACAAAGAACAACCCATCTCACACTGCACAGAGCCGCGCTCCCACCCCTTAAACCC